CTGGAGGGCATCCAGCTGAAGTGTCTAGATATTAACTCAAAGCATCTTCATTAAAGTGGAAGTAGGCAGTGGCAATCTGACAGATTTTTTTTTTTTCACCTGGAGTTATATGTCCCAAGGTATGCTTGCAGGGACTCAGGAAAAATAGTCTCAATTTCATTGACTCTAAGTCGAAAAATGGAAGAAAAAATTGAAACATTATCTGGAGACTTACAGCCAGGAAAGAATTCAGGATTCAATCCAAATGGCAAGCAAATAACAAAAACTCAAAAACAGTGGACAAGGCTAGAATCTAATAACAGGTGGTACTAGATTTTTTCTGAAACATAATTTTTTCTCTCTCCAGTCTCACATTATTACACAACAAATTATACTAGAATCAATTTATTTGAAAAAAATAAATGTCAGTCTCATTATACTTGGACTGATTATTTGCATAAGTGCAATAAGAATAATCATTTGGCCAATAGGCCTTTCTTTTTTCAATTGGCTTTGCTGGAACTTTTCATAAGGAATTTCAGGTTAGACTTAGTTCAGTCCCCTACAATTAATTTTTGTTTTGTTTAAGAACAGAAGGATTGGGTTAGCAATCCTTAGGTACATCAGCTTTTTAATTAAAGTCCTGGAAGTTTGTTTTGTTTTAGTCCAATGGTATATAATTTCCAAAGTTATCAGAAACCTGTATTCAAGAGCTTGTCAGTCTTTCCATGACTTTCTTGAAGAAGCAACTTTGGAATGCAGCCAGCTAAACTGCTTTTTGATAAGAATCAAAGTAAAATAAAATTGTCTGTGGATGACAAAAGTCTTAAAATAGCCATGGGTTAAAGAGACAACTGACAAAAAAATTTGGTTACTTCTGTGACATACAACAAGTTAACTATAACCATAATTATTATGGTTAACATATACAAGATTTTAGGAATTTCATATAATTTTGGAACATGTATTAATAAAATGTTTATGTAATGTTAATTACAAATGCAAGCGAATATAAGAAGGCAAATATATATACAAATATAAGAAAGTTAAACACTATTTTATATTTGACAATGTTTCCTGTATAGTTTAAGATACCAAATAAACCTAATTGTCTCTCTTAGACTTTCACTGGCCCTAATATTTGAAAATGGCTAGTTTGAGGTCAAGACTGAATTTAAAATTCTGATGTTGGAAAGTTTGTCAAAATATCAAAGGCTTAAGAGACTTATCATAAAACAGGATCACGCAGGTTACTACAAAATTATTGTCATTCATTTAGCAAACTCGATGATTCAAAGATTTAAAAGCAAAACCTTACTCTCTGATAAAAGGAGACTCAGTTTCCCCAAACAATCATGAGATCTTATAGAGCAAACTGAAGACACTAATAAAGAGGTGACCTGCATCTGTCTCTCTTTCTCTCCTTCTCTTTTTTTTCTTGCAGTTTACTCAAAGGTGAACAAAATATTTTATCATTTCTATTAACATTATAGGAAACCTTGTTCAAAAGAGAAAACAAAAGTTTACCTTGGTATTTGTGTATTATTGCTGATAAAGCTAATTTTAATAACACCTTATAAGTAAATCCATCTAATTTTAATCAACTTGGCCATAAGATTTTTATACTTTTTATAATTTTTATAATTTTTCCAACTTTTATACCCATTTAGTTTTATTTGTCACTTATTTATTAATTGTTTAATTTAAATCAATTTCTAAGACCTTTAAATTAGGCAAAATTCCTTTTTTTGACAAAAATATTTGTATGCCTTCCCATAACCCTTTTTTAATCAAAAAATATATCCCATTTTTCTTATATGTTTTGCATATAGAACTGTTTCTCTTGTATCTAGTAGCTCTAATTATACTTATCAATCACAAGGCCAATTCTTAGAGAAACTCAGGAAGTTAAAGTACCTTTGAACTGCTATCAGTCCCCAATTTTTATTAGCACATCTAAATATATTTAACTTTCTATATCATATAAAAACAAGATGTCAAAGTATATAAACTTAAACTTATGTTTAATAATTATTGTTTTAGTATTTTAACTTATAAATGACTCATTTATGGTTGTTCTCTTTAATTTAACATAACACGATTTTAAGATTTTAGATTACTGAAAAGAATTTTGAAACTACAATACAGGTACCATCCCTAATGTCCTCCCCAGTCTTCTCAGGTCTCAAGTATCCACGTGGCATCCAAGATGGCTACAAAGGGCAGGGCCTCTCTGAGTCCTCAATCTACAGACCAGGTGTGGAGCTCACAGTAGAACCCAAGATGCCTGGAGGATCCAACCCCGCCCAGAATCGCAAGAAGGCAAAGTTTAGGCAGGGGCTCTATTGCGCTAGATTGTGCCTTGTAGCTGCTGGACCAGGCACTGAGGACATGTCCCCAGACCTCACTGTGGCCACAGATCCAGACCTCAGAATCCAGAGGCTCCAAAATCAAAAACATAAGCTCACAGTCAAATCTAGCAAGTATTAAAAAATACTACAGAAACAGCAGTGCTATCACCTTAAAACATCTAGACTTTAATAACAGTTTTAAAACTAGTTTTATTTATCGAAGATTAGTAAAGTCAGATGAACTAAAAGGCATTTGAATTAATTTCAATTTTCCTGATAAAATATTTGATTTGAGCACTTTTTCCGAAAGCCAATTAATCAGAGCCCTTTCTATATTTTGGCAGTGAAATAATCACAGACACATGACATCAGTAGACACACAGACATACAGACACACAGACAGAAGCAGATCGTATAGCTTTTACAAGGAATTTTCATTTGCTGGCTTTTAAATACATTTTTCCCATTCAGATTACCAATCTTCTCATTACCTGTTTTATTCCCCTAAGCAATTGTTAGCTAGGCAGCAATTTGCCTTTTAAAGAGATGGATGACCCCCTAGGTGAAACAAAAAAAATTAAATCTCAAAAAGCACAGAGCTAAGACTTCAGGCCTAAGTATTATACCATCATTTGCTCATACTAAGAGAAAAAAAAATTTTATTTACAGTCCCAGTTAAGGCAAGATGGCCAGGCAAAGTATCCTAAGCATGTACATTTAGAACAATGGTAAGAGTTTCTGGTGACTCAGTCCTCCCTCTCAGATACCCTTACAAATGGAAATTTCCTTTACAGATTTAAATGTCTTTATAAAAGGGTTTTGATATAGCCAGTTAAATGCCAGAAAGGTGTGCTCTAGGAAGGTGGTCTTTTAACTCAGCTACCACTTAACTAAAATTACTGAGTTCAGGATGGACTCCACTAAGGAATAGGGTTAAAAAAAAAACAACAAAAAGGCATTTCTATGCCTGGAATCAGGATGGGCACATCTGAAAAAGAAGCAAGACTATTTTACCTGAGGGCCTACCTTTTGCAAACACTTTATCAAATATAGCTTTCTTTTTGCCTTCAGGGCAGGATACTACCTAAGCCAAAAGGTTAGCAAATTTAATTTTTCTTATTAAGTCATCACTTAAGCTTCACGTTTGCCTTTTGTAAAGATATTTTTTTTTTACTTTATTTATTTTTTTTTATTTTGGCATACTATGGGGGTACAGATGTCAAGGTTTCAATAAATGCCCATTTCCCCCCCTCTGTAAAGATATTTTTAAATCTCTTTACAAGCTTCTGCGTATTAATAGGCATGCCTGGATGAGACTAATTTGGGGGCCCTCATTTTTAAGTGCACTTCTTAAAGTTGTCCATTTGCAACATTTCACTGTAATTTTAAATTTCCTTCAGTAAGATTTTACCATCCTGTAAATATTTGCTACTTCTGGGGCCTAATACTTACATGTAGGTAGGCACAGCCGAATGTAGAGTACTCAGTTCTTCAGAAATTAAAGATCCCATTTTTACCTTGAATCTCGGCTTGGCTCTCACATCTACATGATCAACTTAGGTAACTTTTACTTACCCAAGCATGCAAAAAAAAAAAAAAGGCAGCAAAGAGTTAGAAGACAGAAATCTCTGCCAATGCCTGAAAGCTAGAGCTTGCACCTCTTGTGTTACCAAAAGCTTGGCCACTAGTCCACAAGGCCGAATAATGAAAACAAGCTGTTTGAGGAGGAAGGAAAGAGAGTCTACTTTGCCAGCAAAGGAAGAAATATGGTAGACCTTCTCTTCTCAAAATCTCAAATTTCCTCAACATAGGCAGAAACACAAGAGATTTTAAAGAGAGGGTTCTCAGCTTCAGGCAATTACTGTGGTTAACGATTCTAATGGTCCCATCTCAGCCAAAAACAAAGCCTGTGAACTCTGCCAGCCGCCCACCTGAGCGGCAGGTGCTACCTGGGAGTTTTAACAAAAGACCTGTCTGGGAGATGCAGGCCAGAATGCAGGTCCCAAAAGAGTGGGGGAAGTTTTAAAAAGACAGAAAATCTTTTTGTTACCCCCCCTTTTTTTTTCAGGCCAGTCCCTCTGTTACACCTGTAGTATTGTCATTTACTGCCAGCTTTTGCCTGACCCAGTCAGACATCTTAGGCCTCGAACTGGATCCAAGCCAGTTCATTATGGGATCCAATCTGATCTCCAGACCCAGCCCCATTTTGATTGACTTCCAAACCCAGTTAGAATCAAAAATTTGCTCAAACAAACTCCTAGGGCTCAAAACACAAATCTGTGGAGTCTCAGGGTCCAAGAGAGAACTTACCCACGATCCCCAGAGGCTTCAAGAGAACAAGGGACACGATGGGCCTGGTGGGCACCTTGCTTGATCACTCAGTGCTCCTGGGGGTCTCTGGGAGCTCTATTTTGGAACCCACTTCTGACATCTTCTATTAAAAGGAAAACCTTAGAAAAATTAAATTTGACAGAGTTTTTAACTGAGCAAAGAACAATTCGCAAACAGGGCAGCCCTTAGAACGAGAACAAGGCCAGAGAGACTCCAGCGCCAAAGATTCATGGACAGAAAAAGGAGAGTGACATGCAGAAAACAGACATGAGGTAATAAAAGAGCTGGATTGGGTCCAGCTCAGCGTTTGCCTTATTTAAACCTAGATTGAACAGCTGACCGTCTCTGATAGGCCAAAAATCAGTGATTAGCACAGAATAGCTGTAACTCATTGAGTACAGAGAAACCTTTAGACCAAATTAAAAATCATGTAAGGAGGTAGCATTAGGCCAAACTTAATTTAATAATACCAAGGTTAAATATTTTCCTAATAACAGAGTAATTTCTGGTACCTCCAAAGACCAAAGAGGTAAGTTAAGGTAAATGGAGCAGACTTTAGCTGGGACAAACAGCTGACATTTTTGCTTTTGAACTTTTTAACTAAAAATACCCTTCTAAGTGGAAACCAATAAGCCTTAACTAAGGTTATAATTCAATCAAGGAAGCAAGATGTGTCTCCAAAGACGTGGAAAACAGTTTTTATGAGATCCAGAAAAGCCACAAAAACAGCTCAAAGAAATGAAAGTCTCGCTAGCCATAAACCTGGTGTAACCCACAATTCTATCTGGCCATATTTTCTAGGGTCCCAGCTTCTTGGCTGATCATTTATACGTAAGTGTCTAAAAGCCCCATATGACCACCTCCCCCCAGACACAGAAAATCAAAGTTGTGTGCAGAAGGGAAAAGAATCAATAAATGACAAAAGTTACACAAATATCAAACCAGAACACACTCATTCCCTGCCCAGGAATCAAACCTAGGCTTCTGAGGCAAAAGCACAGAACTTTAACCTTTTTAAAATATTAAGGTAGGTCAGCCCTTATTGCCAGGCCCCCAGGGATAGTGTGTGTGCAAAGTATCTTCCACCTTTGTTTTAGATCAGACACTTGCTCTTGCATTTTGGAAAGAGAATTTTTAAGGCTAGCCATGAAATTGTTACATGTTTTCCTTTTAGTTTGATCTTTTCATAAATACAAATAAGTCAACTACGGAGAAGAAGAGATCTCTAAAATCTATTTTTTCAAAAAAATTTAGGAATCTTTTTAATTTAAAGGATTCATTTTTAGCCTTTGATTCTTAATGATGTACTTACTCCAAAGAGAATTAATCCAAAAGCCTCTTCAGATGTAATCCCAGAGATCCCCTCATTCTCCCAGAAATAAGCTAAGATAAAAACAAAAGTTGAAGCAACAAAAGCCCCTTATGAATTGGACCTTTTAGGCCAAACACTGCCCAGAGCTTGCTACAGTCAGAATAACAACAACAACAAAAAAACCTTGGGTTCCCAGCTATTTTTATGCTGGTCATCAAATGCAATCCAACAACTGCATCCCTGGATGGTGAAGACCAAGGAGGAGTGCTCCTATGTGGTCACAAGCCATGCTCTCAGGAAAACAAAGCAAGACAAGAGGGAATTTTACCTGGTACTCCTCTTCATGGCAGTACACCCTGGAAAGATAGAGCAACAAAGAGAAATGCTATTTCTGAGATCAAAGGGAATCACATAGATATGTCTAACAAATCACACAAAAGGCTTTCCAAAACAAATCAAGCCAAAAGTTCAAGAGTATTCCTCCAGACACATCCCCTATTCTCTGTCCAGTTAGGGAGATGTCTCCCCAAGACGAGACTCTTCCTAAACTATACAAGAGCCAACCAAGACCTGCAAAGGAGCCACAGTGCTGCTAGAGGGGCCAACGATCAGGAGAAGGAACGGGGTGCTGGGCGTGCTTAGAACGCTCACCAAGGACGTCTTCTAGTTCCAAAAACCATTTCTCCACTGTAAACAAGTCCAAGCACCAAGGATGAACAATGTCCCCCCAGTGTGGATGGCGACAGAGATGGCCCTCAGTCCAAGAGAACTGAGTAGCTGGTGGGGCACATCTCTAAGTCCACCCCACCAGCAACAGGCCACCAAACGGCAGGCAAACGCCCACAAAGGTGATGCTGGATGACCCCAAATTTGTTACTACCCAAGAAAGTTTCACTGCCTGCTGTTAGACAGGAAGCCAACACACTGAGGCAGCAGGGGTTACAAAGGAGAAGGAGTTTAAGGCCTGGCGTGGTTACTCAAGCCTGTAATCCTAGCACTCTGGGAGGCCGAGGCAGGTGGATTGCTCAAGGTCAGGAGTTCGAAACCACCTGAGCAAGAGCGAGACCCCTCTCTACTATAAATAGAAAGAAATTAATTGGCTAACTAATATATATAGAAAAAAATCAGCCGGGCATGGTGGCGCATGCCTGTAGTCCCAGCTACTTGGGAGGCTGAGGCAGCAGGATTGCTTGAGCCCAGGAATTTGAGGTTGCTGTGAGCTAGGCTGACGCCAAGGCACTCACTCTAGCCTAGGCAACAAACCGAGACTCTGTCTCAAAGAAAAAAAAAAAGAAAAAGGAGGAGTTTAATATCACAAGCACCATGTGAGACAATGGGTTTCACATGGTCTCTCGAGAATTTGGGCGGCCAGGGTTTTTAAAGATAGTTTGGCAGGCAAAGGACCAGGGAATTGGGTCTGATGATAGGCTGGGGATGAACTCATAGGTCAGGAAGTAGAAATTGCTTCTTGAGCTGAGTCAGTTCTCAAGTCACAAAAGTAGGTGCCTTGGTAGGGGCCACTGGTCTGGGTGGGTCAACTGTTCCACTAGAATGTGGGGCCTGGAATGAGTCTCCAAGACCAGCCTTAGGTTTCACAAGGGTGATGTTATCTATGGAGGCAATGAAGAAAGCTAAGATCTTTATGACCATCGGCTATGTGACTCTTGAGTAGTAAGCCATTATAGGAAAGCAAGCTAGGAACCAATGGCTGGGGAGATGAGTGTGTACACACACACACACACACACACACATACATATTTTAACTATGCCTATACCTTCTCAAAGTTCAGGCCCTTACCACAGTTTCCATCTTATGGCCTTTTATTAATTATATAAAAGGTGGTTTCAATGGGATTATGAGTAGGTTTTTCTTTTCTCCTTTTTGCTACATTTAAAATTTTTTCTACAGGAAACATATATTATTTCCAAAATCAGACAAATATTAGTAATAAACACTATAAAATTCTAAAATGAACATTAGGGACATAAACTCATGCACCGTATCTATTTTCTGTACCAATAATGGAAACAAACACTTTGTTCAAAATGTTCTTTTCTCATTACGATTATCTAGAAATCACTGGTAGCGGACTCTGTTACTTAAGACCTGAAAAATGGAGAATGTGTGGCTCTGAATTCATTTCCTCCTGGTTCCTCCTGGTTCCTCCTGGCACCTAATTAAAGGAGTGAGACATCTCGTACGGTCTTGGCTGCTTCCCTCTCACACAATGCCACAGCTAAAAGACAGTTCAAATGGGGAAAGATCAATCACTCCAAAATTCATCACAATTGTCCAAAACAAACATAACCCCTGGAATATCGCATTACTCAATTTCTTTAGTTTCAAGTTAAATCATAACTAATGAAATCACAGTAGTCCTCCTTATCTGTGGGGCATATGTTTCAAGACCCCCAGTGGATGTCTGAAACTGTGGATAGTTTGAAACCAAGACCTAGATATACAGTTTTTCCATATATATGTATGTATGTATGTATATATATATATATATATATACCTAAGATAAAGTTTAATTTATAAATTAGGCACAATAAAAGATTAACAATAAATAATAATGAAATAGAACCATTACAACAATATGACAAAATCACTACTCTTGCACGTGGAGGCCACTGTTTAAGTCAAATAAAGGTTCCTTGAAGACAAGCACCGCAGTACCACAACCGTCAATCCGATAACCCAGCCGGCTACTAAGCCTTTAGCAGTAAGGAAACTCAACAGAGCAGAGACGCCGAACAAAGGGATTATTCATGTCCTGGGAGAGAGAGAGAGAGCAGGATGCTGAGGTGTTTCATCATGCTACTCAGATGGTGGGCAATTTAAAACTTACTAATTTGTTTATTTCTGGAATTTTCCATTTAATATTTTTGGACTGCATTTGACCATGGGCAACAGAAATGTGGACAGCAAAGCTAAGGATAAGCCTGTTGTTGACTAGATTACAAATTTTATAAAATCAGGGACCATGTCTTATATTCATCACTGTCACCCCTATACCTAACGGGCACATAACAGGCACTGATTGAGCAAATGAGGCTGAATAAATCAAGTCAGGTGACATAATGCTGGGCTCTGCTGTCTTCCTTAAAATTCTGCCATATTCCAGCACTCTTAATACTAACTCTATGGAAGGAGAGGGTGTGTCATAAGGTCATATTTCATTGTCAGATATTCCTTTACTGAAGGTAAAATTAATAGGTATAGAATGTGTGCCAAGACATGGCTTCTCTCCTCATTATAGATGAATAATTAGCAATTATTCAGAGCCTAATCCTCTCAAGGTAACAATTGCCACTCATGGCTAAGGCTCAAAAAGGCCAAGCAAATTGTTCAAGGTCACAAAGTTAATAAATGACAGAACCAGGATCAGATCCTGATCTCTGGGACCCCACAGTCCAGACTCTTTCCAAATGGGAACAAGTTTCCTATCATCTCACCCAGCCAGGTACCGATGGCTCTGGAGTCTACATTAATTATCTGACTTAATTATCATCGCAAACCTAGGAAGTTGATTAACATATTATACTTATTTTTCAGATGACAAAACAAAGGTACAGAGAGCTTAAGCAACTTTCCCAAAGTCACCCAGCTCCTGATAGAGCCAGATTAGAATGAAAAGCTAAAAAGTATTATATTTTACTAGAACTCTATCAACTCCATCATGAGAGAGTACATTAAAGATATACAGACGGCATCACTTCCAAGCGGATTCACAATGTTGTCAAAAGACTAACTGGTCATACTCTATATTAACATACATAATCATTCAATTGATCCAACTAGTTTCCTAAAACACTCCTCTCTCAAATGAAAACTAATGGACTCTTAAGTTGCAAATAACTCACTACAATTTTTCAGTTGAGTGCTGATTGTTCAGTGCAAACCAAAGGCACTCTAACCAACCCCATTTGCAAGGCAGGAGACAAAAATACAAATGTATCTAAATATTGACAAGTTCCAATCAAACCAACAAATAGATAAAATATGTTGTATCCTCCTCTCTGGACAAAATATGTTGTATCCTCCTCACTGGCAACCTGGAATGCCAAATCCAAATTTAGACTTCTCAAACTCTAGGAAGCTTGCTACTAGAACATGAGGATGCAGGGAGAGACCACCCCATGTGCACATGTGGACCCCACAGTCCCATATCCAAGTTCCTTTCACAGCCTCCCACTCCCTCAAAGAGCTGTCCCTTGGCACTAGGGTTGTACAGACCAGCAGGGCAAGCTGCTCTCAGGAAGAAGGTTGGAGAAAAGGCCCCACACAAGGAAGCAGGCTGTAGAAGTGGGCTTGGGTCATTTGGGCAGGTAATTCCTTGAGAAGGGGTAAAACCAGAGGACAAGCAGGGTGTGGCTCCCTAAAGTGTAGGGCACAAAGCAATGAACTCCTCTTTCAAGGGCTTACAGGGGCATTAATGAGAACATAAGCTTTTAGTGGAGACAGCTGCTTATAGTAAATATCCTAAAATGCATCCTCTCTCCCAATCCTTCCCTAACCAGGATCTGCCCATCTACCATGTGCAATTCCTCCTCTTACAGGAAGCCTTCTCCCACTACTCGAGCCAGCAGAGACACCACCATTCCGTAAATAATCAAAGCATTTATAACTGTGGTTTTCAAATGTAGTTCTTAATTGTATATATTTTCGGGTTTTTTTAAATCCTGTCAACTGGGTTGATTTTGTTTCTCTTAAAGCAGTGGTTCTTAACCAGGGACAATTTTTGCACCCCTGGGGATATTTTGCGAAGCCTCGAGACATATTTGATTGTCTTATTTAGTGGGCAGAAGCCAGAGGCCAGAGGCCAGAGGCCACCATACTTCTTGGATCCCCCAAACTGCCAAGCAGAGTGTCAGACACACAGTAGGTCTTCATTAAATATGTGTTGACTTTCTTATGGGCTATCTGGTTCCAAGCCTTTCTAAAACTGTCATTTATACAATAACTAAACAAAGCTTGGTGTGCTAGGACCACGCTAGGCTCTGGGTTGAAAATACGCATGAGACACAGTCCCTGCACTTAGGGAGCTTGGGCAAATACACTAGAACTGTTAAAATGCATAATTAATGCACCTGTCACTCCTAGATATTTGTATATTTATCTGTTTATTTTCTGTCTCCCCTCATTAACCTATAAATTCCAAG